GGGTGACGTTGAAGACATCATAATGACTAAAGACTCTTGTGTACCATCCCTTCTTCTGGCCAAACATGACTTCACTCAGGTGGGCAGATTCTGTTCCAAATTCGCGTATCTGGGGAGAAGGGGAGGGGGGGGTGAGTGTTTTTAAGGGCGTGGGAGGGAGGTTTAGTTTATGTGTGTTCCTAACTAGTTGCTTCAATCCGGTAGAAGCGTTAAGCTAAGATGTTCTCATCTGCTATATTTGAATTATTGTTAAATATATATATTTGTTTTAACTGGTACATATTTTAGGCTCACACTACGTTATCTGGATGATTATTACATTCTTCAGTAGTCCTGTTTGACATCTTTCTCGCTTCTTTCTACTTTCAACTTCCCCCTGTGTCCTCTCGTCGTTCTCGTATTCAAAGTCATCTTTATAAAACTTCAAACATCCCCTAACATAGTCATAATCATGTGACCCCTTTTCCTTCTTTCTTCCAAAGTAGTAAGTCCTATTTTCTGTCATCTATCTTCGTAGCTCATGTCTCAGAGTAGGTGCCCGTTTTGTGGCTACTCTTTGATGTTTTTCAGTTTGTCTGTATCCTTTTTTTAAGTGTGGACTTCATACCACTGCACCATACTCTAGGTCTTGTGATGGCTGTCATGATCTTCTTTACCATATCTTCGTCCACTTACGCGAATACCCTCTTCCTGTTGGCAAATAAGTCTTAGACTTTTAAGAATCTTTTCATTTATATGATCATTTGGGCTTATGTTCCATCCATTTATCTACCCATCAGTTCCTCTTTCCTTCCCCCCCCCCTTTCATCCACCCATCTATGCATCCATCCACCCACCCACCCACCCACCCATCCATCCACCCACCCACCCACCATCCATCCATCCATCCATCCACCCATCCACCCACCCACCCATCCACCTACCTATCCGCCACAGGAAAATCTTACCTTGACAACGACGAACTCCCACCAGGCGTCTCTCTCACCGGAGCAGCAGTCGCAGTTGTGGTTGTAGCCGTAGAAAGACCAGTAAGCTGTGGAAGTGGAAATAAGCTTCAGCCTTTCGAGATGAAATGGGAATGGGAATGGGAATGGGAAACAGCTAGATATTCTCGCCTGGATAATCGATCAGCATTGCGAATAGGAATGGAAATGGGAATCCGCTAGATATTCTCGTCTGAATGATCGATCAGCATTGCGAATGGGAATGGGAATGGGATTCAACTAAATAAAATCTTCCTGTATACTCCCATCTTTTTTTCAAGAGCGAATAAGAATACGAATAGGAATCCGCTAAATACCCTCGTCTTGGTAATCAATCAGCACTGCGTAATCCTGTCTATTTTCAACAGCGAATGGGGGTAGGAATAAGATTCGGAATCAACTAGACATATTCGGGATTGAATATATCTAGTTGATTATCAATCAGTACTGCATAATTTGCGCTTTAAGACGAGTCAGTAAAATCAGCGGAAGCATGTATATTGAAAGTAATTTAAGGCCCTCAAGAAAAAAAGGAAAAAAAAAAAAAAAAACGGTAACAATGACTTTCACTGATAATGGTAATCAATAATATCAATAAAGTGACAATAAAACAATAGAGGTTTAAAATCATCTTAAAGATAATAATGATATTTCTCGAGCTTCATTTTCTTTTTCATTTCCATTTCTTTTCTCTCGTAAATGACCCATAGTTCAAGAGAAACAAAAATGCTACTTAGCTGAATTGTTTTACGTCTATTCTATCGATTTATCCTCCTATCTATATATCATCATCATTATTAATCAATTGTATTATTAATCCTATCATAATCTTGTATCTATATTATTATAATCTCTTTATTATGATTCCATTTATTCTATCTTCTTCAGATTCCAAACATGTTACTCACTGCATCATTAACTATCACATTCACCATCATCAAACCCTCATTCAACCTCACCATCCACATTTTAATTCAAATTTCTCTCTCCTTTCCTTATTCCCCTTCGCCATCATATCCACCAACACGTGCTTCCCTCAACCTCCACTAACCAATATGCAAATGTCCGCTGCACTCCATAGCATGCCAATAGGTCGGTATCTTATTATTCTTGATAGTCTGGTAGTCCTCGTTACATAGCCTCGACCAGTCCCCGGCTACTCGGTGGTTGTAGTACTCTCCAGCATCGTGGGGGAAACAGAAGCCTTCATCTCCTTCCTGTGATGGAAAATAAGGGTGGAGGGGGGGGGGTGTAATGATTATGGTAATGAGACGGTATTGTTGACTAGGGTTATGGGTATTGTTGCTAGGAGTCAGGAGTGGTGATGGAGTGGTGGGAAGAGGATTGTGACAATTGTGACTGTGATTGCTGTGAATGATAAAATGGTAATGATAATGGCAATAAGGATGTAATGTTATTGGTAACGAAAATGATAATAAGGACAATAATAAACATAATGATAATGACAACAGCAACAACAAAATAAAGATAACAGCAACACAAATAACAACAGTAATGATAATAATAATAACAATACTAAAATATATAAATGCTAGTACTACTAATGATGACGATGATGATAATAATAACAATAGCAACACGATTAACAACAGGTCTGGTAAAGACAATAATGGTATCAGTACTTTGATGGTAGTTTGTTGTTGCATTTGCACGAAAGGGAGAAATAATATTTCATCACAAAAGAGACAAAACAATGGTTATCCTCTTTTATAACTCTATTTATATGAATCACTGATATTTTCACGTTTGATTTTGTATGAAACATATCCAAACAGATATAATTAATTTACCATTTTGAAGACTGATACTATTTATATGGTTATTTCTTAGTTTACTGTAAAGGCAAACTGTAACGTACATGCCTATGCACACACACGCACACACACACACACACACACACACACACACACACACACACACACACACACACACACTCTCTCTCTCTCTCTCTCTCTCTCTCACACACACACACACACACACACACACACACAAACACACACACACACACACACACACACACACACACACACACACACACTCTCTCTCTCTCTCTCTCTCTCTCTCTCTCTCTCTCTCTCTCACACACACACACAAACACAACGAAGGCATTTTTCTCCAAACGGATAACTATGAAAATCTGAACCCTCAGTATCACCTCACCGTCTTGTGGAACCAAATAAATGGAGCGTAAGTATAGGCATAATCTTCGTATAAACGTTCATTGAAGCCTTCGACGCTGCTCTCCCCGGAATCCTGGATCTCCTCGCTGTCGAAGATTATGTCATCCAGCAGTGATGCAAATGCTCCTGTGAGGGGAAAGGAGGGAGAGGGGATAGAGATAAGTAGGGAGGGGGAAGGAGGGAGAGGGGAGAGAGGTAAGTAGGAGAGAGGAAAGAGATAAGTAGGGAGGGGAAGAAGGGAGAGGGGAGAGAGGTAAGTAGGAGAAGGGAGAGAAGTTAGTAGGGAAGGGAAAGGAGGGAGAAGGGAGAGAGGTAAGTAGGGACGGGAAAGGAGGGAGAGGGGAGAAGTAAGTAGGGAAGGAGGAGGGGGATAAGTAGGGAGAGAAGGGAGGGGAAGGGGATAGGTGGATGGGAGAAAAGGGGGGAAGGGGTTCGTAAGAAGAAAGCAGGGGGGAGTGTAATTAGGATGGATAGGGGGTGAGATTAGCAAGGAGGGAGGAAGGGGAGGAGGGGGGGGGAATAATTAGGAAGGGTGGAGCCTCCATCCATGCTACCCCCCCCCCCAGAAGTGAAGAATTAGCAAGGAGGGAGGAAGGGGGGGAGGTAATTAGGAAGGGAGGAGAGGGGAGGGGTTAAATAGGGACGAAGGAGAAAGGGATAAATATGGTAGTAGAAGAAGGGACATGGGAAGAATAGCCAGAAGTTGAGGTTAGGGTAGAAGAAAGGAAATGAGAAAAGGGGGATAAAAAAGGGTGCAAGGGTGGGAAGAAAGTGTAATAGAGGAAGGGGAAGAACTGTGGATTAGGATGATAGGGGACGAAGGAAAGGAATGCTAGGGTGGAAGGAAAGAGGATAGGAGGGGGGGGGGGGAGGTGAGACGTCAGGGGAGGAAAGAGGATAGGAGGGGGGGGGGAGTTGAGACGTCAGGGAAGGAAAGAGGATAGGAGGGGGGGGGAGGTGAGACGTCAGGGGAGGAAAGAGGATGGGGGGGGGGGAGGTGAGACGTCACGTTGGAAGGAAAGAGGATAAGAGGGGGGGGGGAGGTGAGACGTCAGGGAAGGAAAGAGGATAGTAGGAGGGGGGGGGAGGTGAGACGTCAGGGAAGGAAAGAGGATAGGAGGGGGGGGGGGGAGGTGAGACGTCAGGTTGGAAGGAAAGAGAATGGGGGGGGGGGCGGTAAGACGTCAGGTTGGAAGGAAAGAGGATAGGAGGGGGGGGGGAGGTGAGACGTCAGGGGAGGAGAGGGGATAGGAGGGGGGGGGGGGGAGGTGAGACGTCACGTTGGAAGGAAAGGGGATAGGAGGGGGGGGGGAGGTGAGACGTCAGGTTGGAAGGAAAGTGGATGGGGGGGGGGAGAGACGGCAGGTTGGAAGGAAAGAGGGTGGGGGGGGGTAAGACGTCAGGTTGGAAGGAAAAAGGATAGGAGGGGGGGGGGAGGTGAGACATCAGGTTGGAAGGAAAGAGGGTAGGAGGGGGGGGGGAGGTGAGACGTCAGGTTGGAAGGAAAGAGGGTGGGGGGGGGGAGGTGAGACGTCAGGGTGGAAGGAAAGAGAATGGGGGGGGGGGGGAGGTGAGACGTCAGGTTGGAAGGAAAGAGGGTGGGGGGGGGAGGTGAGACGTCAGGTTGGAAGGAAAGAGGATAGGAGGGGGGGGGGGAGGTGAGGCGTCAGGTTGGAAGGAAAGGGGATAGGAGGGGGGGGGGAGGTGAGACGTCAGGTTGGAAGGAAAGAGGATAGGAGGGGGGGGGGAGGTGAGACGTCAGGTGGAAGGAAAGAGGGTGGGGGGGGGAGGTGAGACGTCAGGGAAGGAAAGAGGATAGGAGGGGGGGGGAGGTGAGACGTCAGGGAAGGAAAGAGGATAGGAGGGGGGGGGGAGGTGAGACGTCAGGTTGGAAGGAAAGAGGGTGGGGGGGGGAGGTGAGACGTCAGGGAAGGAAAGAGGATAGGAGGGGGGGGGAGGTGAGACGTCAGGGAAGGAAAGAGGATAGGAGGGGGGGGGAGGTTGAGACGTCAGGGAAGGAAAGAGGATAGGAGGGGGGGGAGGTGAGACGTCAGGTTGGAAGGAAAGAGGATAGGAGGGGGGGGGAGGTGAGACGTCAGGTTGGAAGGAAAGAGGATAGGAGGGGGGGGGGGAGGTGAGACGTCAGGGGGGGTTGGAAGGAAGGAGGGGGGGGGGGTGGGGTGAAAAAATCGGTTTCCCCCCCAGGGGGTTGGAAGAAAGTGGAGGGGGGGGGGGTGTAATGATTATGGTAATGAGACGGTATTGTTGACTAGGGTTATGGGTATTGTTGCCTAGGAGTAGGATTGGTGAGGGAGAGTGTTGGGAAGGGATTGTGACAATTGTGACTGTGATTGCTGTGAATGATAAAATGGTAATGATAATGGCAATAAGGATGTAATGTTATTGGTAACGAAAATGATAATAAGGACAATAATAAACATAATGATAATGACAACAACAACAACAAAATAAAGATAACAGCAACACAAATAACAATAGGAATGATAATGATAATAACAATACTAAAATATATAAATGCTAGTACTACTAATGATGACGATGCTGATAATGATAACAACAGCAACACGATTAACAAAAGGTCTGGTAAAGACAATAATGGTATCAGTACTTTGATGGCAGTTTGTTGTTGCATTTGCACGAAAGGGAGAAATAATATTTCATCACAAAAGAGACAAAACAATGGTTATCCTCTTTTATAATTCTATTTATATGAATCACTGATATTTTCACGTTTGATTTTGTATGAAACATATCCAAACAGATATAATTAATTTACCATTTTGAAGACTGATACTATTTATAAGGTTATTTCTTAGTTTACTGTAAAGGCAAACTGTAACGTACATGCCTATGTACACACACACACACACACACACACACACACACACACACACACTCTCTCTCTCTCTCTCTCTCTCTCTCTCTCTCTCTCTCTCTCCCTCTCTCTCACACACACACACACACAAACACACACACACACACACACACACACACACACACACACACACACACACACCTCTCTCTCTCTCTCTCTCTCTCATCTCCTCTCTCTCTCTCTCTCTCACACACACACACGCAAACACAAACACAACGAAGGCATTTTTCTCCAAACGGATAACTATGAAAATCTGAACCCTCAGTATCACCTCACCGTCTTGTGGAACCAAATAAATGGAGCGTAAGTATATGCATAATCTTCGTATAAACGTTCATTGAAGCCTTCGACGCTGCTCTCCCCGGAATCCTGGATCTCCTCGCTGTCGAAGATTATGTCATCCAGCAGTGATGCAAATGCTCCTGTGAGGGGAAAGGAGGGAGAGGGGAGAGAGATAAGTAGGGAGGGGAAGGAGGGAGAGGGGAGAGAGGTAAGTAGGAGAGAGGAAAGAGATAAGTAGGGAGGGGAAAGGAGGGAGAGGGGAGAGAGGTAAGTAGGAGAGGGAGAGAGGTAAGTAGGGAGGGGGAAGGAGGGAGAGGGGAGAGAGGTAAGTAGGAGAGAGGAAAGAGATAAGTAGGGAGGGGGAAGGAGGGAGAGGGGAGAGAGGTAAGTAGGAGAGAGGAAAGAGATAAGTAGGGAGGGGGAAGGAGGGAGAGGGGAGAGAGATAAATAGGGAGGAGAAAGGAGGGAGAGGGGGGAGAGGTAAGTAGGGACGGGAAAGGAGGGAGAGGGGAGAAGTAAGTAGGGAAGGAGGAGGGGGGTAAGTAGGGGGGAGCGAAGGGAGGGGAAGGGGATAGGTGGATGGGAGGAAAGGGGGGAAGGGGTTCGTAAGAAGAAAGCAGGGGGGAGTGTAATTAGGATGGAGGGGGGGGGGGTGAGATTAGCAAGGAGGGAGGAAGGGGAGGAGGGGGGGGAATAATTAGGAAGGGTGGAGCCTCCATCCATGCTACCCCCCCCCCCAGAAGTGAAGAATTAGCAAGGAGGGAGGAAGGGGGGGGGGATTAGGAAGGGAGGAGAGGGGTTTAGTAGGGACGAAGGAGAAAGGGATAAATATGGTAATAGAAGAAGGGACATGGAAGAATAGCCAGAAGTTGAGGTTAGGGGTAGAAGAAAGAAAGTGAGAAAAGGGGGATAAAAAAGGGTGCAAGGGTGGGAAGAAAGTGTAATAGAGGAAGGGGAAGAACTGTGGATTAGGATGATAGGGACGAAGGAAGGAATGCTAGGGTGGAAGGAAAGAGGATAGGAGGGGGGGGGGAGGTGAGACGTCAGGGTGGAAGGAAAGAGGATAGGGGGGGGGGGTGAGACGTCAGGTTGGAAAGAAGATAGGAGGGGGGGGGGGGGAGGTGAGACGTCACGTTGGAAGGAAAGAGGATGGTAGGAGGGGGGGGGGAGGTGAGACGTCAGGCTGGAAGGAAAGAGGATGGTAGGAGGGGGGGGGGGGAGGTGAGACGTCAGGTTGGAAGGAAAGTGGATAGGGGGGGGGAGGTGAGACGTCAGGTTGGAAAGAAGATAGGAGGGGGGGGGGAGGTGAGACGTCAGGTTGGAAGGAAAGAGGATAGGAGGGGGGGGGGCGGTGAGACATCAGGTTGGAAGGAAAGAGGATGGGGGGGGGAGGAGAGACGTCAGGTTGGAAGGAAAGGGGATAGGAGGGGGGGGGAGGTGAGACGTCAGGTTGGAAGGAAAGAGGATAGGAGGGGGGGGGAGGTGAGACGTCAGGTTGGAAGGAAAGAGGATAGGAGGGGGGGGGGGGAGGTGAGACGTCAGGGAAGGAAAGAGGATAGGAGGGGGGGGGGAGGTGAGACGTCAGGTTGGAAGGAAAGTGGATGGGGGGGGGGAGGTGAGACGTCAGGTTGGAAGGAAAGAGGATAGTAGGAGGGGGGGGGGAGGTGAGACGTCAGGGGAGGAAAGAGGATAGGAGGGGGGGGGGGAGGTGAGGCGTCAGGTTGGAAGGAAAGAGGATAGGAGGGGGGGGGAGGTGAGACGTCAGGGGAGGAAAGAGGATAGGAGGGGGGGGGGGAGGTGAGACGTCAGGTTGGAAGGAAAGAGGATAGGAGGGGGGGGGGGAGGTGAGACGTCAGGTTGGAAGGAAAGAGGATAGGAGGGGGGGGGGAGGTGAGGCGTCAGGTTGGAAGGAAAGAGGATAGGAGGGGGGGGGGAGGTGAGGCGTCAGGTTGGAAGGAAAGAGGATAGGAGGGGGGGGGGAGGTGAGGCGTCAGGTTGGAAGGAAAGGGGATAGGAGGGGGGGGGAGGTGAGGCGTCAGGTTGGAAGGAAAGGGGATAGGAGGGGGGGGGGAGGTGAGGCGTCAGGTTGGAAGGAAAGGGGATAGGAGGGGGGGGGGAGGTGAGGCGTCAGATTGGAAGGAAAGAGGATAGGAGGGGGGGGGGAGGTGAGGCGTCAGGTTGGAAGGAAAGGGGATAGGAGGGGGGGGGGAGGTGAGGCGTCAGATTGGAAGGAAAGAGGATAGGAGGGGGGGGGGAGGTGAGGCGTCAGGTTGGAAGGAAAGGGGATAGGAGGGGGGGGGGGAGGTGAGACGTCAGGTTGGAAGGAAAGAGGATAGGAGGGGGGGGGGAGGTGAGACGTCAGGGGAGGAAAGAGGATAGGAGGGGGGGGGAGGTGAGACGTCAGGGGAGGAAAGAGGATAGGAGGGGGGGGGGAGGTGAGACGTCAGGTTGGAAGGAAAGGGGATAGGAGGGGGGGGGGAGGTGAGACGTCAGGTTGGAAGGAAAGGGGATAGGAGAGGGGGGGAGGTGAGACGTCAGGGGAGGAAAGAGGATAGGAGGGGGGGGGAGGTGAGACGTCAGGGGAGGAAAGAGGATAGGAGGGGGGGGGGAGGTGAGACGTCAGGGAAGGAAAGGGGATGGGAGGGGGGGGAGGTGAGACGTCAGGGAAGGAAAGGGGATAGGAGGGGGGGGGGGGAGGTGAGACGTCACGTTGGAAGGAAAGGGGATAGGAGGGGGGGGGAGGTGAGACGTCAGGTTGGAAGGAAAGGGGAGGGGGGGGGGTAAGACGTCAGGTTGGAAGGAAAGAGAATGGGGGGGGGGGGAGGTGAGGCGTCAGGGCAAAAGGAAAGAAGATAGGGGATGGGATAGACATTAGGGTGAAAGGGAAAAGGATGATGGATAAAGTGGGTAGAAGAAACACCCGTTAAGATCGTACTATGAAGAAAAAACAAATATATATGAGGTTGTTAGAAGTTGGTACAGGGTATCATGTATATTAAAATTCTGAGATTTACGACATAAGCTAATGTCTGTGAGGAGGCACCGGGTACGAAATATGAGGAAGGAAAGCGAAAATATTTTTAGAAAAAAAGAAAAAAAGAAAAAGAAAAAAAATATGGTAAAAAAAATATATATATGTTATGTTTACCGTTTACGAATGACATAACCAATCATTTTAAAAGTGATTATGTGGTTCCGCTTTAAGCTTGATTACTGACAATCATTTGAAATTACATTTGACGGTTTAATAGAAAGATCAGTAAAAAAACAAAGACCTGTGTAGAAGGAAGAATGAAAAAGTTACGAAGCTAGGGAATTAATACGTGATAAATTGATAGACAGATAAATTGAGATAGAGATATAGAGAAAGATAAAGATGGATAGCCAGACAAATAGATAGATAGAAAGAGAGAGAGAGAGAGAGAGAGAGAGAGAGAGAGAGAGAGAGAGAGAGAGAGAGAGAGAGAGAGAGAGAGAGAGAGAGAGAGAGAGAGAGAGAGAGGGAGAGAGAGATATATGGATAGATATAGATAGATAGATAGAGAGAGAGAGAATACTCATGAGAAAGGAGAGAGAGAGAGAGAGAGAGAGAGAGAGAGAGAGAAAGAGAGAGAGAGAGAGAGAGAGAGAGAGAGAGA